GGGGGTTCTCAAGGCCCCAAGGGACGACCCTGCCGCACATGTGCTCACACCACACGAGCGGTGGTGCCTGGCCAGGACTGGGCCAGCTACTGCCTAGTGACGAACCAACAGAAACATCTCACGTGTGGGCCATGTCGTCCAGCCTCGTCCCAGCCGCGGGCCGGCCGTCTGGCAGCTGGTGCTGCTGCTTTACGCACAGAGGCTGCCAGAGAGGCCCCCGCGGCACAGATGCAGTCGTAGACCATGCTCGTCTCTTCACACCGACGTCTCCCACCCGAGCCCCCTTTGATGACCCCACCGTTGAGGCCCTGGGGTTTCAGGGACTGCCTTCTTTTGCTACTGCCCTGTTCTCATCCAGGCAGCCGTGTCCTGCAGGTGCCCCCCGTTTGGAGCTGTGGTCAGGAGCCTGGGCTCTATGCCAGCAGCCCTGTCCCTGCAAAAGATAGAATTGTGCCCCAGGCATGCCCAAGGTCTACCATGTGGCCTGTGGCCTGGCTTGGGGTGACCGGGCCTCCCCCCTGTCCGGCCCACCCCGTGTTCTCCCCCCTCATCCTTCCCCACCCTTTCCTCCTCTAAGCGTCTGTGGTGTCTGTGTCCACCAGGCTGCCTCCCCTTCGCTGGTCCCCTCAGCGTGAGTTAGTGCACTGGAGGGGCCCAGCTGGCATCCAGTGCATGCTGGGAATGGGCTGGTGGGACATCACCGAGAATGGAGGGCCACGTGTGCCCAGAGGGACCAGCTCCTCTTCACGGGGCCCAGCTTCTGCCCTGGGGACAGAGCAGCTGGCTCGGCACTTTGTGGGTGCCGGGCAGGGCGGGGCTCCCCCCCCAGGCTCAGGCAGCATTTGGCTGATTTCGTTCCTGTGCCGGGATACTGTGCGCTGATGGTCGGGCTTGACAGGAAGCGGGGCTCCCTGCCCGTTCTGGTTCTCCCGTCTCCCCAGGAGCTGGCTCCCACCTACGCCTCGCGGCCCCGCCTCCAGCCCCGGGCCGTCCTGTGACTTGAGCCGACTTGTCTTTGCTTCCAGGCCTGGCGCTTGCCGAGTACGACCAGCCCTATGGCGGGCTCCTGGATATCCTGCGGGGGGGCACCGAGCGCCTCTTCACAAACATCAAGGACACCTCCTCCAAGGTCATCCAGTCCGTTGCCAAGTGAGTGAGGGCACGTGGGCACGGCGTCTAGATGACAGTGACAGCACGTGGTCTCTTTGTAGTAGGGGTTTCCCGACCTTTGGGCTCTGTCCCGCCTCCAAACCTGGCAGGACCTGCACTTGAGGCTGCTGGTGAGCGTGTGATGCCATCGGCACCGGCTGTGCCATCAGCCTCGTGGGCCCAGGCAGCGGGGGTGGCGCTGCCCGATGGGGGTGCCTCGGCCACCCGTTCCCACCCCTGCCGCGGAGGGGCACATGGGAGTGCCCGAAGCCACGGGGCCCTGCCACTCTCGCCCCCGGGAGGTCTTTTCCATGGAGAACCTGAGCCGCCAGCCTCAGCGCCTCCCTTGCACCGGGACAGTGCCCCTTGCATTTGTGTGGTTTCTTCTCCGTGGCGTGGAGCAAGGGGGACAGTGGAGGGGCCCAGGACACCTCACGACCTCAGGCCCACTCGGGCTGCTTGGGCTTGAGCGTGTGGGTAAATCAAGTCGCTTTGTGAGCAGGTTGTTGAGGGGAGTGCACATGTGCACAATTGGGGGCTACTCTCTCATCCTGGACACCGGCCCGAGGCCCTTGTGGCCAGCACACATGGTCTGCGTTTGCCAGGTCCTCCGGAGGCATCTCCACTATGCCTCGGGAGCTCCCCGGGAGCCTCACAGGCCCGGGTCTCCAGCACGCTGCCCCCCGCAGGCCAGCTCAGGGATGTCAGCGTCCACGTGAGGCTCTGCTTCTCTGTGCCGATGGTTTCAGGGGATGATCCGTGGGAGCTGGTTCTCAGGCGGGGGGTCGGGACCCTTGTTCTCTGTAGTTACCACGTGTGTCTGATTGCGTGGAGGCTCCTCGGCTTTCCCTGTTCTTGTGTGTGCGCACACACCAGCCGCGGACGACACAGGTAAAGTCGCACACACGTTGCGTGAGCACGCGCACACCTGTGTGAGTGGTGCATGTGTGAGCACTGTGTTATATAGCAGCGCGCACGCAGTCTCCGATGTGACTTTATGTAACGACGAGAGGCTTGATTTCTACTGGCTGTGGATCAGTGTCCCAGGCCATGCCTTGTCGAAGGAGCTCTCCGGGTCTGTCCCTGGGGTCGGGAGCAGTCCGGCTGCTGTGGCTCACGTTCTGGTTGGGGGGCCCAGACAGGACAGGCGGGGCCGCCTGTGGCCTGTAGGCTCGCCTGTCGTCTGCCGGCGCTTCTCCACTCACGCCTCCGATGAGGGGCGACCTCGCACAGTGCCGCCATGTCGTCGGCCCTTCCACGTGGCTCACCCCACGGGCCGTCATCCTCTGCATGTTGTGCGGCCGCAGCACCAGCAGGGCGGGCGGCAGGTCTCATCCCGGCAGGTGACGTTGCAGGGGTCTTGGGGCTGGCTTCTGGGACCGGAGGGCTCTGGAGCCATAGCCCCTGACGACGATGAGCGGGAGGTTCCTGAACGCGGGAGAAACTACTCAAGTCTCTCTGAAAAAGGTGCACCAGCTGTGCGGAAGCCCTGTTTCTTGCTGGGCCTCAGGCGTGAGGCGGGTCCAGCATTTCACGGCCTCTCCGCTGAGGTGCAGGGAGAGAGCAGACAGCCTCGGCTGCCAGCCTCTCCAGGGTGGGTGCGGGAGCTGGGTGCCCGTGGCCCGCTGTGCGACCAGGATGCTGGCGCCCCGAGAAGCCAGGGCTGGGAGGCGGTGCGGCAGGAGGGGGAGGGCTTGGTGCCACATGCTCGTGCACTCGTGCACTGCTCTTAAAAGCAGTTTTGAGAAACGAAGGAACGTAAAATCGTTGCTTGTGTGTGTGTTTTTCTTTTAACATTTTTTAATTTTGAGAGTAAGCGTGTGAGCAGGGGAGGGGCAGAGAGGGAGAGAAGCCCAGGCAGGCTCCCTGCTATCGGCCCA